AAAAGGAAACACAGAAGTCTTCTGTTGCTCAACATTGTTGGTCCGAAATCACACTTTCAATTTTTCTGCTGCCAAAATTATTCAAAAAAAAAAACATCTTCCATTGGAGAACTGGATTTTCTAGAGGCATTTCACATTCATAAAAATCTTTCTGTTCTAGTTAACGATCCTAATTCCAATCCAAATTTGCCTTCGGCTTTAGAAATTATGTTTTAGTTCTGGTTTCGCCAACAGATGGCGCCACTTGCTTATTCTTGTCCAGGCTTCCTTATCTTATCTAATCATTATTTCCTATCTTGTTCATTTGCGGTTTTGCAGCTGAAGATGATGGTTCGGTAAAACCATCGAAACTAGTCCTGTGAAAATTTTGTGAATATAACGCTGATTTTTGTTGTTTGACTTCTGAATTAGCATCTGATGTGTTACTTGGTCCCATCCAATCAGATCAATAGTGGAGCCAGTATCTCGGAGTACGGGCATTTCTCGATAATTTACTCTTGCTATACTCATATAGGGAGCTAGCCATGAATCTGGAGATTCTGAAGTGCCTAGTTTGTTTACAGCTTCAGCGACCTCTTGTCTTTTTAACCGAGGACACTGAGGTCGGAGATGACTATCTGAATTACATTCATAACATCTAGGTATTCTCCGTTGTTCGAAAACACTTGACTTCCATTCCTCTCCGCAGTTGTTTCTTTCGAACATTATCATGGCGACGTACTCGATCTCAAAATTCTCCTTTTTTCCTTTCGTTAATATTTGAATCCTGTTCGGTATTTTAGTAAAACCTGTTTGTTTTTTTTACGGACTTTCGTACTGCTTCAATTCATCTAATTTCTTCACTAGTTCAGCAGAAGATATTATACTCGGCCACTCATCCACGAAGTGTTCGCGAATTTCGCTGTTTACTCGACGTTTAATTTGATCCGTCAACATTAGGTCTTTTAGCGCTCGAAATCTCGTACTTTACTCCGTTTAACCATTCATCTAGATAGTTTTTTAACTCAAAAGCAAAGTCTTATATAAACTACCCGCACGGCGCTGGTGTTGAACAAATTTGACACGGAACACCTCTGGGTTCAACTTAAACCGCTGCAAAAGATTTTCTTACGTAGGAGTAATTATCTAGCTCCTGTTCTGGCTCTCGTAGAATAATAGAAACAATGTCCCATTGGCAATAGAACCATCAAATGTGACACCCAGTCTCCTTCCTCTACCTTCGCTTTGCGAGCCTGACGCTCAAACATCGCTAAGTAAAGCGAAATATCCGATGATTCGGGATTATATCTCTGCATTAAATTTTGCAAATCTCTCATAGATATCGGAATATTATTTTGAGAATTTTCTCTGCCATTATTGACGTTTGTCAACCTTAGACGTTCTAATTCAAATTCTCTCTCCCTTTCCCTTTCAAGTTTACGCTCTTCGGCTTCTTCGAGTCTATTTTGTTCGATTCGCGCTTCGATAATCGACTCTAATGTTGCCTCGACGAATTTTTCGTCATAACTGAGGGCTCTGTACAATGAGGTTTTAAGATCTTGTATTTTTGCATTTGGGGGAACTTCTAGACCTAATTCTACAGACAGATTTATGAGGTCTTGCTTTCTACCCTTGCCAAGATATGACATTTCGCCAGTGACAAAATTTTAAAGTGATACAATAAAATAAAACTAAAGTACCAGTTTTGTCTACTCTGAAAGTTTCACACTATCCAGAAATACTACAGTAAACAACATAGCAATGCAATTTATGGTATGTATGACATAAAATACGTACCATTAGCAACATAGGAAAAAAAATTAAAGTAAATTAAGCATTTCTTAAATAATCTGTTGCAGCTTAACACATAACATACTTAATGCGGTATATAAAAAAAATTTGCTAAATACTTATTGGCAAAAGAATATTAGTCACAAAGAGCAATACTTATTGACTCAATTTACAACTGATGCGTGCTTTCTAAAGGTGAAAATACTATTATAAAATTCTTTACATCAAAAACAAAACATTTACGAGTAACCATTTAAACATATAATTTCGATACACAAAAGACAACCTCCATTAAAATGCCTCTTTAAAAAGATAATGCCATATCAACTTACCCATTGCAGACAAAAAAATAACAGCTCTTCTTTCCTTTCTTTTCTATTTGCACATGCGATTCAATGACCCGAAGAAGGAAACCAATTGAACAATAGTCGACTGGGCGATTTTTCTTTCACTAAACAACCAAAAGCACTTTCACTTCACTGCACAGAGGGTGGTAAACAACAAACGCGAATTCACAACACTTCACTCTTGTTGGACTTCTTGTGTCTTGTCTTTACACCCGAGGGAGAATTTTACTTCACACTCTTTCCCAGGCACTTCCGGAAACTAGTCTTTGTAGTAGTTGATTCTTCACGAACGCTTCTCATCGATGATCCCTTTTCAGCTGCTGGTTAAACTCTCCAAACTTTACTGCGAAAGAATTCTTTTCCACTGCTAGAATCGGCTGATTCTGAATGAAGATAAGAACCGGAACGGTTCTCCAAAACGATCACGTCTTTGTTTGTCTATTGGGTTTTTACGATCCCACCGCTGCCACCAATTAACACATACCTTCTAGCTGTAGCGATTTTAGAACAGTCAGGTTTTTATTATTGGTAGCGTAAATAAAATAAAGGTAAGTGTTAAATTTCACAAATTGAATTTTAAGGTAAGTTCAACTGCTTATCATAACAAAGTAGTTTGCTTAGCAAAGTAGTCCGTTTACAATAGGAAACGATAATCACTTGAGTTCAAACAAAGTCGAAAAAGGTAGCGGAGAAAAAGTCCGGCTACGCTTCTTTGAGGGTTTTTTCCCCCCGCTCTTGACAGAGCTTAGTAGCGACTCGGGACATGAGCCATAAAAATAACACAAGAGAGAAAGGGGCTCTCTAAAGCTTACTAGCGACTCTGGACAGAGCCGTAAAATACAAGAGAAAGGCTCTCTCTTCTGTACGCAACGACTACGTATTCTTCAGACTAAATCTCTCTAATTATTTTCCACTCACTGTTTTTATGTCTAGGTTTTCTTGGGCGTGTCTTGTGCGTCTGCTGCAGTGATTCGCTAAACGTCTTTTTCGGAGCATCTCTCCATTGGTTAACAGGCGCTGATTTGTTCTCAGATACTGTCTTGACAGCCTGAGAAACTGAAATTTTCCGTGGGAAAATTCAGAATGTCTTTTTGGGAGGTCTATCCAAATTATTTCGAGAAACAGGCAGTTGGCGACAGTCTATCGCATACACACAATGGACACTCCCCAACCCGTGAGAACTTGTATGAAAGTTTTCTCCTTTCGTAAAAACAATATGCTTTCCGCACTTTGTTGGGGGTCACGTTCGACCTCAAGAATTCGTAAGTGTCATCAGGGTGGTCATCTGGCGCCCATTTGAAGTCTCCTTTTCCCAGACTTCATGGGAGCCCGTGGGAAAATAGCGGACGACATTACAGTACAGACGCCACAAAAAATTCTCTTCAGAATTCATTTTAAAGCAGTTTTTAGTTTTTTGGAGGAAAAGAGTCTTTTATTCTGTCCTTACGTACAGATATCACGCAAAAACATCGTTAAATTGCATTCAAAAGCTGTCAAAGTGGATATTTTCGTTGAAATATGCTGCCTGAAGCTTTTCGCGATTACAATACTTCCTTTTTACTTAGTACAAGAAAGTAAAAAACATAAGAAAACGGATTTTATATTTATTTAAAAATATTATTCAGTGTTAAACTACAACCATGAGAGCTATGTAAATAATTATCTAACCAAATGCAAAAATGGGTGTGTAGTGTACAAGGTTCAGGAAAATTAGTTACCCTTACACCAAGCTAATTTATGTCTTTTTGTACTTATGAAAACATTTCACATGAAGCAATAATATAAAAGCTTTTCCTAGACCACCACCCCACCCCCACTAGAAGATTTAATAAATTATAGGAGGCTCCTGGCAGTCCTAGGTACCTATGTCAGTGGTTTCTAAGGGTTTTGTTTTTCTCACTTTTCCGTAGAACAATAATCTTCACTAAGGCACACTGGTGGAATGTTCAAACACAAGCATATTCCTGAATTCATGGAAAGAATATGCTACCCACATACAGAGCTTCAAATTTCGAGACCATATGAAATTTAAAATTCTTTCATTAGGAATGGATGTACCTCGCTTTTACGCCTCATTTTCAAAACAAGTTGCATCTATTTCTTATCAGATTGATTGTTTCTTTCAATACTGGAATACAATTACATAGAATTTTTAACCAGGTAGTTCAATTTTATGCCCTACGAACATTCAGAATCAATCTTATCAGATTGATTGTTTCTTTCAATACTGGAATACAATTACATAGAATTTTTAACCAGGTAGTTCAATTTTATGCCCTATGAGCATTGGGGTAATTAAGTCAATAAGGATGCAATCACAACGCTCACCCGCAAAAATATAGAAAAGGCAAAGTTAAGTGTTAAACTCATCAACTCTAATGAGAATGCACTAGTGAAGTAAAAGCACTGTGGTTTTACATAATTTCTGAGTAAGCTATTCATACGAATTGAAATAATTCTTGCATTTAAACTTGTATTTCAAATTAATATTAAACTTTATTAATGTAGATAATTACTGAGAGAATTAGATTTTTGTAGCGGAGTTTACATGAGATGAGATCACTTGGGGTCACATGGTATGAACTGCCTAATCAGGATCTTGAACTGCGAAAACATAGTAAATTCTTAAATTAATGTCTTTTTACAAATTGTCTTTATTTATTGGCTTTTTACACAATGTTAAACAATATTAAAATGTTTATGCCTTCAAAGTAAAAAATTATTAGAACTAACATTTGTTAACATTTTTTTATGTATATACTGTATGTTGTCGCCAATAAAGTCTGCTTGGCGATATTTGCGCCGGCGAAACGGAAAAGTACCCAAAAATATTTACTACATTAAAGCACTCATTTGCATACATTAATATTTCTAAATAAATCAGTTGAAGAAAATTTACCTTCTTTTCTTTCATCAGCATAAATGCTCTCTCTGCTTTTGTCAAAGGCACAGATTCGTTTTTCTTCTTTTCAATATTTTCGGCACCAGTAGTTTTTTCAACTTTTGCAATTTTGTCCAGTATTTGTTTTTTATCCTTGTTTTTCTTTTTTCTGAAAAGTGAGCAAAATAATTAACATTCTCTACACGATTAAAAACATCCAAAACATACATTAACATAAAAGAAGTAGAAAAAAGTCTAACATTAAAGTTATATCTGTAACTGACAATGTATGATACTTTGATACTTAAATTTAAGCTGGTGTCAGCATGTATTTTATCACACTATTACCAGTACCTGAGATAACCCCAAAATGCGAAAAACCTTGCATAATCTACTGCTAATGAATGAAACGCCAGCATTCTATAGAATACTTATAATACTTAAAGACATGGAACTACTCTGATATGCACCCTCAAGTCGCCAAACATTTATGGCGAGAAACTCCACGCTGCCATATTGCTATCTAAATTTTTTGTCTACATTTCGAACTTTAAGCCTAAAATGTCTCCAAAAACACGGTTTTCGCGAATGCAAAAACCACGTTTTGAACACACAATTTAAGCTAAAAATCCGAAACAAAAACAAAAAATTTAGATAGCAAAACCGTAAAGTTTCCAACCAAAATTATCTGACAAGAGTCCATGTACACAGCGATATGTTTTAACTTAAAAAAAAATCTACAAATTGCACAATTTAGGCAAAAAACGAATCTACGAACAACTCACTTTAATAAATTAACATAACAACAATAAATTTCAAAGAATACCATGACAGCGTCCTGTTTAACTTTAAAAAATATCTACGAATTGCACAATTAGGCAAAAACGAATCTACAACAACTCACTTTAATAAATTAACATAACACAATAATTTCAAAGATACCATGTATACAGCATCCTGTTCAACTTAAAAAAATCTAGAATTGCACAATTAAACGGTACGCACTAATCAACAAAATAACTAAAATAAATTCAACATTTAAAAAAACAGCAATAACAACAGAAATTCATACTAAAAACCAATTTAATGTAACATTCTACAAAATAAGAAGAATAAAAAAATGCACTTACCATGAATTAATGCTTCAGCAGGGACAAGCTAGAGGGGGGCAAATCTGTCCCCGACGCAGAATCCAAGGGCGCCAAAGGGTATTACGATCTTTTAGAATTAATGTTCTTCCTTGGCAGCAGTAGGGGGCGCGAAATCTTCAGTTGTCCCTGGGCGCTGAAAACCTAGCTACGATCTGTGCTACAGCAGAAATACCAATCATACAGCCTTTAACATGCCGCCAACTATCACTATCGTATTTATATGACAGCCAGACACACTATCCAAAATTATACTGTGGGTTACAAATAATAAAATAATCACAAATCCTACTTCCTATCATGCACAGCCACTAAAAATAATCTCCCAGCCCTCTTTCCACACCTCCAATACCATGCCCCTCAACAGGATGGCCACGACTATTTCTTTTTGCCGAATTCAATCAAACTCAACTTTCAACATTTTCACCATTATCCCCCCCCCTAAGCTTCTCAGACACACAGCATGACGCAAACCAATGAACTTCCCGAAAGATTTCGGTGCACTTTGGTAGACGGTTGCAGGATTTTTGGCGATTTACATTGGCCCTTTTTGCAATCGTCCCATCTTAAAAACGCTGTTTTTAACGCATTAAAGATTCGAAACTTAAAAAATAATATCGTTGTAATAATAGTAATTGATTAATTTTTGTTAAAATTTTTTTAAGATGGCATGCAAGGTAATAAATCATTTCCATGAGTAAAAATACTAAGAAGGCTATTATTACTTTCAATAGCAAAATAATAAAACACCGCTATAAAACTTGTTGCCAACGTTAATTAAATTAAAATATTACTGAATTTATAAATTAAAACATCCCTACAACTTTTCAAGAATTAGAATATATTAAATTCAATACTTTAAAATACTTAATCAAATAATTAACATTAAAACATTGTGACAATAATTACTCACACTTTTGAAATAGTGTATAATAATTTAACAATATTGAAGTATACAATATAAAAAAAAAAAATATGTACTTACATTTTGAGTAATTTACCTTTTGTTTATTGATAAGTCCAAAAAAAATCTAAATCATAATGAATTGTCTCTTTTAACCACTTCACTGTTATTCCCATATCTCGCACTTCTTGAAGAAGTATTCATTCCTCCAAAAATTAAAAAATTTCCTCTGATGTTATAAAATGTATAATAATCTTGATTGGAAACAGGTTGCCAAAAAAGGTCTCAAGGGCATTTTTTATTCCAAACCAATACTCTTGTATACCATAACAATATCATCTTCAAAACGAAGAATCCATTCCATTTGAAATCTACAATTCGAGATGAATAATAAAATTTAAAATGGCGGTATCCACAATTCAGTAACCATCAGGGAGCTGATTCATCACGCATAAATTAAAATATTTAATAATCATCATAATAAATCAGTTAAAAAACAATGAAATAATTGTATTTTAAATTTACAGCCATAAATAATGTTTAAACATTAGATTAATTTACAGTATTATAAACAATACTTTTTAGTAAGGACGTCATGAGTCATCATCAACAAGCATAAAATTATAATATTATAAAAAAAAATTTTTTTCAATACAAGTAAATAAATTGATTTTATCTTTAGAAAGCCATAAATAATACTTAAACACGGAAGTTATGCATAAAAAAAACGCTTATTTTTTTTAATAAATGACAACAGTTCGGTTACCATAAAACTTATCCAGCAATGGGTTTACCATAAGTTGTATTACTCGCCAAAGAAAAATCGCCAAATCCTTGCACCGTCTACCAAATTAGCACCAATTTTTTCAACCGGGTGCCATACAACACGCAAACGCGCCAAAACCAGCACAGAATACATATCGCCACATTTGGTGAAATTAGGGCGTATATCAGAGTTGTACCAAAGACATTCTCCAGAATGACAAATGTTATTTAGAGAAAGGGCTGATCTTTAGAATATGGTAAATGGTAGTTTGGCGACATTTTGGAGGCGATAAAGGTTACTACCTGAGACTTTGGTAATAATGTGAGCAGTACTCAGTTCCGATTACGCATTATTTTTTGTGAGGGAAATGAGATCATGGCATATGTCATGTGATATTAATGGACGAATTATAGTTCTTTAATCGGAAAAGGGGGGAAATCGGGAAAAAAACTGGAAATTTTGTATTTGGCTTCATTCTGTGTTGTGTGAACAGTTTCGTAATTTTTGGATCCCTGGCCCTAACTAAAGTGAATTAGAAATGGGTATTTAGTGGGATTGAAAGGGGTAGTAATAAGTGTTTCTTTTAGGTTGTGCGAGATAGGAGTAAAGATGTTTTATTAGTTATTTATTTTACCTGGTCCTTGCTGTGAACTAAAGTATGATTTTAAAGATCCTGAAACAGAATAAGAAAAGTTTATCGACACGTAATCAAGATTCTGAAGAAGATTAGGTAAGTCGTATTTTAATTATTTGAGGATATTATTTTATGCATTGTTCTAAATGTAAGGTGGAAGTAAAGTAATTTGGTATATTGGGAAAATTGTTATTAGCAATGATTTAGTTTAAAGTATTAGGATTGTAAGTAATTTTTATTAATTTAATGTATGTGCTTATTTATATTTTAAGTAGTGTTTTTGAATTTAATTATATTTTAATTAAATGATAGTTATTTTGTGAATTTTATGTTTGTAGGAATTTGGTTTTAGTTGAAGTAAACGTGCATGGAAATAATTTAAATATTTGACGCCAAGTTACCATAATGTAAAGATCAACCAGAGAATATATGAAAAAAAGTTCTTATAAAACTATTATTTAAAAGATGGGTACAACTCTAATATACGCCCTAATTTCACCAAATTTGGCGATATATGTTCTGCGCTGGTTATTGGCACGATTGCATTTTCTATGGCAACCCTGTTGACGTTGAACAATCTTTCTCTGGAGCTCGTTGATTCGCGTCTGTGTCTGAGAAGATGGGACGGAAAGATAAAATGGTAGAAATTGTTGAATTGAAGTTCGGGAAAAGGAAATAACATTGTGGCCATCCTGTTGAGGGGTAGTGGGTATTTTGGAGGTGTGGAAAGAGGGTCTGGGAGATTATTTTTAATGGCTGTGCATGATAGAAGTAGGGATTTGTGATTTTATTTTCTGGAGTGTGTCTGGCTGTCACGTAAATACGATAGTGATTACGTGGCGGCATGTTAAAGGCAGTATGAAATTAGTATATCTGCTGCTCGAAGAAGCATTAATTCATGGTAAGTGCATTTTATTTTATTCTTGTTCTTATTTTGTAGAATGTTATTTTCATTGGTTATTTAGTATGAATTTCTGTCGTTATTGTTGTTTTTGAAACAGAATGCTGTGTACATGGTATTATTTGAAATTTATTGTTATTATGTTATTTTATTAAAGCGAGGTGTGTGTAGATCGTAAATTCGTTCGTTGCCTAAATTGTGCAATTCGTAGATGTTTTTTTAAGTTTAAACAGGATGCTGTGTACATGGTATTCTTTGAAATTCATTGTTGTTATGTTAATTTTTATGGAAGCGAGGTGTGCGAGTTCATAGATTCGTTCATTGCCTAATTTGCGCCATTCGTAGATGTTTTTTTAAGTTAAAACATGTCGCTGTGTACATGGATTCTTGTCAAATATTTTTGGTTAGAAACTTTACGTTTTTGCTATCTAAATTTTTTGTTTTTTGTTTCAGATTTTTAGCTTAAATCGTGTGTTCAAAACTTAGTTTTTGCATGTGCGAAAACCACGTTTTTGGAGACATTTTAGGCTTAAAGTTCGAAATAGAGACAAAAAATTTAGATAGTAATATGGCAGTGTGAAGTTTCTCGCCAAAAATGTTTGGTGAGAAATTTGGCGACTTGAGGGCGCATATCAGAGTAGTTCCAAAAGATGTGCATTTCTCAAAAATACAAATGTTATTTTGAAAAATAACAAAAGAGTGCCATTAAAAAATTTTATTCAAAATACGTAAAGAAAAATTAAAGTTGCACGAAACAAAATTTATGCCTTCCCTATTAAATTTTCATACAAAAAATAAGAAAATAAAATTAACCTACTTCTTACAACTTAGTAGGTTCATTGACATATTGAATTACATGTCATTATAAATTATACTACTTTATTACCTTTTTCATGCAAAGACATTTCATATTTTGGCACGTTGTTTTGCACATCACAAATCCTTGGCCACACAGAGCAACTGAAACTAACCAGAGAGGAATTTCGTGGTCAGAAACATCTTCAATTCTAAGCAAGTTCTTAAAATATGAAGTGGATTGTAATCTCACAAACAGCTGTTTAAAAATTCTTTGAGAAGCCGGCAGAAACCATCCTCTGTCACACTCATTACAACTGCCAATATACTGCACAAGTCACTTCATCCTTTGTCAATGCCTGGAATATGAACTTTCAGATACTTCCCAAAGTAGAGGTATTCCCCCCCCTCTAAATTCATTTCCTTTTTTGGGGGGGAGGGGGCTGTTTCTTACTTTGCTGGTTTGTTAGAAGGCATTCTATATAATACTGGGTATTCTACAGAGTACCTAGGAAATAAGTAAAATGTTAATCGTTTCATACACTACCAGCCAGTTTTCCGCATTCTCTAAAATGCCTTGGTATTCTATAGAATGCCAGCTTTCATACATTGCTGATATATCCACAAATAAGACATAAGCAAAATTTTAATAAATATACTAGTACTCCATTTAATGCCTGAGATGCACTTCTAGAAAACTAAGTGAAAGAAACAGGATTAATGGATCTTCTAACACAGTGTAAATAATTGGAGGAATATGTAACAAAAAATAAAATTGGTTGACTGAAAAAAATTTTGCTTTTAATGTTAACTTAGATAATGGTACACCTAATAAGAATGCATACTTTAAAAAAGTAGAAAATAAAATTGCATAGATTTTGTTTTTCAATAAAAAAATATAATTTTTTTTATCTTTTATTGGAAAACAATCACTTATCTAATTCTGTTGGTAGAAGTCATTCACTTGAGGGAAAAACTTTTTGAAATTGTGCCAAATAATAATATAATTTATTGCATGATTGCTAGAGTGAATAAGCTTTTAAATTCATCAATGAGAGTAAAATAAATAAATAAATTCAAATCAGGGGCTCTATTCTGATGTTAAAATAAGAATTAATATCATAAATCTATAAAACTGAACAAGTATGAACTTTAATGCGCATTAATTGATTTTTTTCATCAATTAACAAGTCACTAAATAATTTCAGAAACTTTTCCGCTAAGATTTCTGTATTTAGGCTAGCTTTTCCCGAAGTATGTAATAAAGCAATTAGATAAAAGCTACTATACAATTTAAAAATTAGAAGGAAAAAAAAAATAACCTTTTAATCATTCATTACTTCAAATCACTACATTGCAGTTGTTTGATACTTTTATTTTTGTACCAGGAATAGAATTAAATAAGCACTTACAAAAATGAAAAAGAAAAAAAAAAAAAAAAAAAAAAAAGCTACTGTCCTATTTGATATTTAAAAATATGCTGTCCACACGGTATAGTGGTTAGGGTTGCCGACTGCAATACTAAAGAGCCTAGGCTCGAATCCCAGAGAAAGCCTGGTTGTAACTGTCTGTCCCTTTACAGGAGGCAAAGGTGGCAAAGGTTTCTTCATAATAAAGTGACCACCATTTCTGGCCTTAGTAGTGACCAAGCCGAAGTCAGCTAAAGGCCTGCCACTGGTTAAAAAAAAATTTACATGTTCAATATTTCTATCAAATGAAATTTTATTTTGTATTTGAGAATGATTAATATTTGTCAAATTTCACTGCATACTTTTTAAAGTGCTATTTTATCACTGCACTTGAGTCCCCTTTGGTCGACGAAGTCCTAGAGAGTTTTAAAAATCATTGCTGTCTCAGAACAAATGTAATTCTCAGTAACTTCTTTGCTTGCAATTTCAGATCATTCTCTATTTTTATTTATTTCCCAGTTCATCATTTTGAAATTTTATAGATTTTTTGGTATGCATTGAGAGGGATGACAAATGGATTACCTGCCCAGAGAGTCAAAGCTTTTATCTACTTAAAAATATAATAGTTCCATACTCAATAAATCATAATTAAATAATTCTTAAAACATATTTGGTAATTACTTTTGCACACATTCCAAATATAATGTAAAAGTTAGAAAGAGAAAAATGTAAACAAAACTCAGTTGTGCAAATCAAAATGTGCAAATTCTCAGAAATCTACTCTATTAATGTAAAGAAATTCATAGTAACTTAGTAAATTATATTCAGCAAGCCAAATTCCTCTTTTAAGGACTAGTCATATGAAATGTATGGCATGGACTAAAGATTAAAAAATAATTAAATTAAAAAATTATTAAATTACAGCGTATATGAGTGCAATCTATCTTCAGTATCGTAAAGTAAAAAATGTGAATTACTACTTGTATGAAAGTAAAAATACAGAATACTAATTATATGAAAGTAAAAATAAAATTAAGATGTCATTATTCAGAAATACTGAAAAGTACAGAAAACTTTCACAAGTTTTCAAAATTTCTTAGATAATATTCAGGCTAAAGTGCAGAATCGCCCACTTATTTGATTGGCGCTTTTTACAAGAGTAAGAATAATTGGATTTTTGTCAATTTTCTTTGACTTTTTTAAGTGAAAATAGGTCAATGTGTAATGATAAAGTCAAGGGAGGGCGCAATGCCATTTTTGTGCAATTCTGGGATGTTTTTTTAAGTGAAAATAGGTCGATGTGTACATGGATACCGAGTATGTGCAATTCTCAAAAACGCGCCAAGCAGTGGGCGATTCTGCACTTTCTCTAGAAATTATACAGAAAACAATCAGATAGTTCTGGATGACAAAAAGTGGTGTTAAATTTATACAGTTTCGTCACTCTCGTTTCGTATTTTCTTTTAAACAACATAAATTTATGTTTGAAATTAGTTTAAACTTAATGTTATAGTTAAAAACATAAATTACTATTATAATTATCATGTATCCCTTAAAAGTGAGAAAGCTTCGCCACACACATAATTTATAAATCAAAACAATTAATATGAACTAAAAAAACAAATGTTCAAAACAATTTCAAAAGCCAAACAGTATCATGTAAGATCCATACTTCTTTATTCCAGAATCTGTTTTCAGTTTCAGAGGAGTCTTTGTCACAGATGCATATTCTGACATTTTGTCAAAATCAGTCTACATCTAATGCACTCAACTTACGAAACAAGGCAGTACAAGCAAAGAACGTCTATGTATTCTATGTATGTCTATGTATAGATATTCTTTGATACAAACTCGCCATGCACGAATCACGGACCATAAACAAGTTACGAACAAAATGTTGCCAAACTTTGAAACATGATTTTCATTATGATGTAAATCGAATAAAATGTAATTCTAGGTTTAATTATTGATAATTTTTAAAAAAATGTGTCCGTTTTTGTGCAATTAACATGAATGCAATTAATATAAAAATAGCACATAATTGAATAAAATGTAAATCTAGGTATAATTATAGATAATTTAAAAAAAAATATGTGTCCGGTGTTGTGGCTTGAACTTACACAGAAATTTAAATAATGGTTAATATCGTTTTATTTGTTTTTTTGTTTCGTTTTCGGAATGGCAACGAAAAGTTTTACTAAAGATTATTTTCGAATTAGAAATATGAACTAAAGTTATTTCAAGAAACTGAGTTCTAATTATAGAGATCAATTTGGAGTCAGGAGCCATTAATGCTACTCGTTCTTGAGTTATTCGCACTCATACATTGAACTGCGGTGCTTAACCACCAGGGTGCCTGGGCGCCATAGCCCTACCCTTCATCGAATAACATGATAAAAGTTTCGAATTATGATAAATATAACTGAATGTGGAGTTATTTGCACTGAAACCTTCACTTTGGAGCTTTTCATATGATCATTCCCGAACAAACTGGGCGCTGTGATCGCGTACGATGGAGGCAGGATCTTAGAAGAGCTCCTAAATTTTCAAAGAGTTTTTTCAGATAAAGCTCATCTACTTAAGAAAAATTTTCGCGAATATCCTCTACATTGTCTCGTTCTCAAAACCGAAAGATTTCCTGAACCTATAGGTCTTAACTTCCTTGTAAAGTTTAACAACACCAGGACGGAACATTCAGATAAGTAGAACTTTTCTCTAAGCTAAATCAAATATCTGTCACTAAAGTACCTTTAAATTCACTTATTTATTATGATCATTATTGGTAAAAGCGCAGAATAGGCTGCATCAACAAAGTTCAGTAGGAGGAGCTGTGTGACGTCCATAAATGGGGGGACTAAGCTTATGAGTCACATGTAGTCTGGTAGTCTCGCATTTACACTACGTGTACTTCTATTTTCTTAAAAATAACTAATAAATTATTTATTATTGTACATAATATCAAATTCTTTACTTTTGATTTACGTTTATAACATTTAAGCTTAGGCGTACTCATAATAAGTATATAAATTGTTGATTTTAAAATTACCATGATACAGTGAGCGAATTCTACCAATTATTAAACGATAAACAACGTCGCAGTTTCAATACTGCAAGCTTCAATGTTTTCAAAGATTTTTATAAAACATTATACAAATAAAAAAAAAAAAGAAATTAAATTCATATTGTGGAACATTTCAATTTTTCATGTTTGCAATTATTCTTGCTACGTAACGACCATAATTACTTACATATCAATAATTAGACAATTTTCCTTATTTCTAAAAATTTTAAACTTTACATTTAATAAAAAAAGAATATTTTTTTTGCATATGACATCATTACACAGCTTTCATATAATTTTCTGAAATTCCTAAATCACGCCATATTGTGTAGGCATACTAGAATTCTACGCATTAATAAATAAAAAATCTAATTTTTCAGAATGAAAGAAAATAATATAATAAAATAAATACTACAATCTTGGAACACAAAGCAATGCTTCCATACGCACACACCAATATTATGAAGTCATATTATCAAGTGCAATTACCATACAAACATAGTATTAAAATATGAGGTAAACGTAATTCAAGGGTTAAAGTTTACAGTTTTGCTACTGTTGAGAGATCGTCGGGCTATCGATATATATCGAAGTCGGAACGGTTTCCATATAAACCCAAAAAATTAAAAATACAATTTAATGAAAAATGACGTCTAAATATAATTCACAATTAAAACAACAACAAATTTTAATACACAAACGATATGTTAAACATTGCACATAAAATAAATACATTACTGCTCGGCATCACACACAACCTCGTTTCCCTTTACACAACGATCCGTATTCGCTTGAAAACATCAAAGAATTCCCACACTCGGCGTCCATGTGCTCATCCATCTAGTTTCACTTAACGAAAAATCAGAGAATTGCTCAAACTCGGCATTTCGCACCACATTGACTTTTGCCTATGTGCACATCGATCTATTTTCACTTTAAAAAAATCCCAGAGTTGCACAAATCGGCATCGCGCACAACCTTCGCATTGCGCACCACATTGGCTTTGCCCATGTGCACACGATCTATTTTCACTAAAAAAAATCCCAGAATTGCACAAACTCGGCATCGCGCACAGCATTGGCTTTGCCCATGTCACACGATCATTTTCACTTTAAAAAAATCTCAGAGTTGCACAAGCTCGGCATTGCGCACCACTCAAAATCGTCTATACGTCTCAAAACGTTCTCTAGTAGTTTCATATGGTTCCACAATTGGGCATTATACGATATTGCAATCAAACTTCTCCATACACCACTCAATAACTCTTTTGCCTCTTCGTTCCAACTTATTAAAAAATCCAGATTGAATACTCATCCATTCTGCAGTAAGACCGATTTTGACACACTCATCAATAATCAAAACATTCTTTACGCAAAAGAATTCTTTCTGTATTTTCAGAAGTACGGTTATAATTTTTATTCATGCATTCAATATTTTCAATCGTTGGTAATGATCGTTTTCAATTGTTTGGTATCTTAATAACATATTTGTCAGAGATAATTCGTTGCGTAAATGCTAACACTACCACCACCACACAAAAGTAGATTTATAATTTAAAAAATCTCGCACAGAACATTATAACCTACCATTTCAACTCAGTTAAAACTTCATTTAAGTTTTCTTTAAATACGAAGCTATAGCATACTTATAACTTGTTTTTAAGGAGAGCGTAACCAATATTACGTCATAAAAGGCATGTCCAAGCATAAGAGAAAACACAGCATCGACTGATGCAGCCTATTCTGCGATTTAGCCATTATTTATTATTATTATGCTCATTTTAATATGTTCTGGCATTAAATACTTAGCAATTGCTTTAAATCATGTGGTTCTTTTTTATTTTATTTTATTTTATTTTTTGGTTACCATCTCGTAGGGTCGCTATCCTTATCAGTAGCCCTTATCAATAATGTAGTCTGTTAGCGCTACCCATTGGGGCCCTTTAAAAAGAATTTCTTGAAAGGGAAAAAACACGATCTTGCCCTCAATGAATGTATAGATTTGTAGTTTTTGCTCCATTAATCTATATTTCCTATGAATTAAATTAAAAGCATTATTAAATACAGTGTGCCCAAATTGATAAAATAGTACACATATAATCATTAATGACATTAACTATAAATAAATAAAAATGCTTATTTTTTTAAAAAATTAATTATATTAAAATAAAAAAAACTGTATTTTATTTACTATTTATTTTTGCTCATGTGTTGTCGCCTTGTTTTAGATTTATGATTTTATTGATAGCGTTTTCTGAGTTATAATTGTTGGTACCGCATAGATGCATGATATTATAGTAGCTTGATTATGTGTCTTCTGTACTGTCTCAAGGTAGAGGGCAAACATATTGTTTCCCATGTTAAAAAATAAAAGTTAATTAAAAAATTTTAAATTTAGTTTCCCTGTTATAGCAAGTTAGCTCTAAATAGACTTAAACTGTATGTGACTGGACCCCCAAATATATTTTATTATTAATTTCCCCCATCTTCACATCTATCAGCTTTACCTAACACACCATTACACACAACTGGAAACTCTATTAATGTAAATGCTAAAAATTTTTTTTGACTACACTCTGGACACAATCGGGTTTTTTTTTTCCTTAGCAAAATCTCTAACTTCCTTTCCTTTTCTTTCTATAGGCCCTTTCGTTTTTTTTTAATTATAAATATAATTTTTTTTCCTCTCCTTATTTTGGGCATTATTTTATTTTATTTTGTCCCATCTTCTTCCTGGCCTTTAACTCGTATAAAATATTCGAAGTTCCTTTTTACTCTCCTCTGAAAACGAAATGCCCCCCCCTTTATATACTTTCCTCGCACCTATGCTGATTTTTCGCCCATTGGTGCAGAAAGATTAGCGGGTGCAACAAAAGACATCTGTCTACTTTGTCTGTCTGTCTGTCTGTCCCGAACAAACTATGGGCCCTAGTCTGGACACCGTCGAGATAGAAGAACGGGTCGTTTTTTGCGATCTACTCGACAGAGAGCGAGTCTAGGTCCGTCTCGATTATAGACATCTACGCGTCGGAAATTTTTCCGTCAGCTGGACAGCTGCCGTTTAAATTTCTGACTGTCGTTTTAGAACTAAACTGAGGACGGCAGATGTCACGGATTGTTTTTGAAAGTGTAAGTAATAGATATTTTAATTCTTAAGATTTGTGAAAAAACTCGAGTATTTCCGATAGAAATAACGCATTTGATGCTGAAGATTTACTTATTTATTTATTCTACATTACCATGCCTTAATTAAATGTTTGTGAAAATAAATATTTGATATTTATTTCCAATAAGAAGGGGGCATACTTTTGATTTAAAATTGTAATTTTTAAACTAATGTATTATCAATGTACTTAATTTCATGTTTTGATGAGTAACAAAATTTGAAATTTTACGTTTTAAATTAAAATGATTTACCTCTACTTTTATTTGAATTTGTAGTATATAAAAACGAATACATTAGACTGCATTAAAGACTATGCAGTATATAAGTCAAACTATGCACATCCTAAATTCGCTTTACATAAATTGCTTTGAGTTAAAAAATTATTAAGAGTTTTAACTGTACCGATCAATGTCAATTTCAAGTTTCTAGAATCTCCTGTAAAAACAAGTTAAATTCGTAAATTTTCGGTTTAAATTCTGTCAATATTTTAATGCAAGATTTATAATTCGTTATCAGATTTTTAATGTGGTCTACTTTTAGTATTAATCATTTGATATATTTATTCATCTAAAAAGTGCTAGTTTTGGTTTTATGAATACGGCACAGCCCGACAGCTATCTGCCTAAGTGAGGGTGCTTTCGTGGAGGACATTCTAAGGAAAATG